CTGCGTGGTTCTGGTGATTCCTGTCCTGCGTGGTTCCACAAGGCTAAAAATCCAGGTGGCCAGATGGCCGGCGCTGGCGAGGGAGCACTGATTTGTGAGCTCTCTCTGCTCAGCTCCCTCGCGCGCCGCAGAATGATGCCCGTAGCTGGAATATGACATCATATTCTGGCTCCCGGCATCACTCTGTGGCGCTCGAGGGAGCTGAACAGGAGGATCAGTGCTCCCTCGCCGCCTGCACTCACCGGCCGGCCAGCAGCCCCACTGGACCCCAGGGAGAACCCCCACCCCCAGCATTCCCAAAGGTAAGGAGGCTGGGGGGATTGAATTTGAGAGTGTTAATGTGTTTGTGTCTGTTAGTGAGTTAGTGTGTGTGTGTGTGTGTGTCTGTTAGTGAGTGAGTGTGTCTGTCTGTTAGTGAGTGTGTGTGTATGTTAGTGAGTGTGTGTGTGTGTCTGTTAGTGAGTGTGTGTCTGTTTGTCTGTTAGTGAGTGTGTGTGTCTGCTAGTGAGTGTGTGTGTGTCTGTCTGTTAGAGAGTGTGTGTGTCTGTTAGTGAGTGTGTGTGTCTGTTAGTGAGTGTGTGTCTGTTAGTGAGTGTGTGTGTCTGTTAGTGAGTGTGTGTCTGTTTGTCTGTTAGTGAGTGTGTGTGTCTGTTAGTGAGTGTGTGTCTGTTTGTCTGTTAGTGAGTGTGTGTGTCTGTTAGTGAGTGAGTGAGTATGTCTGCCTAGGGCAGCACAAAACGAGGATACAAGACTGGCTGGAGGTATTGCAGCTGTCCAGACTACTGGAGCCATTTTTGGACAGTTATTTGTATTTATTTTTCCATATAATTTAAGTTTCTATATTGTTGCTAGTGTGCTAGTTTTTGAAAGGAGTCACGTCACTGCGTTCCTATAATTGCTAGTCAGCGTTAACAGCGCTAGTTTCCATAGCTGGTTGCGATGGGTGGAGAGCAGGATGATCTTCTATGGGAGGTCTCTTCTGCTCTCCCTGTTTGTCAATGCATCGGCATTGAGCGTCTGTCAAAGAATTGAGAGACAGATTGGGAGAAAATTCTATTTTTGAATAGGTTTTGTGATGGAGCTCCGGGACGCCGACCGAGTACCTCCACCCAGTTTCCTTCCTAGCTGCCACAGGGGATTCTGGAGCTCTTCTTTTAGGCAGGTATCTTCCACTCTGCCTATTCCTCGGCAGCTTTTCTTCCAGACAGGTGTGCACCTCTGCCTGCTATGTGATAGCTCTTGTAGATCTCCGGTCTAGCACTCTTTGATTTGTCCCAGGGTAAGAGGGATTTTTCAGCCAGCCAACAGATACAATTCTGTGCCTAGGATCCCTAAAAACCCCCACACGACACAAAGCTTCAATAGCACTAACATGCGCAGCTTTATTTTTACCCGGGACTGGCCCATATGCTCCTTACATTTAGATTGCTGTGACAACTTAATAAAATTCAAACAACCAAATCACATTAGACAACATACATGAACTTATAATAACATAATGACATATTTATAAAGGGGTGGGGAAGACAATAATTAACAGAACATCTCTCCTGCCTGTAGAATTAGCAATATGCAATATGTTTCATGGAGTCAAAGTCAGTGAAAAAGCAAGACGTGCCTGTACTGCCTGTCTGGTAGGCAGCCTCTGGAGTCAGTCTTAACACTGCAATGCAAACATAGCAGGGCTAAAGGAACAGGGACACTGCACCCAGACCAATTCAATAAGATGAAGTAGTCTGGGTGTCTATTGAGCCCCTTTAAAGATACATTATTGCTGTGGAGCTCTGTTATACACTCAGACACATTACTGGGAGTATTATTGCTGTGGAGTTCTGTCATACACTCAGACACATTACTGGGAGTATTATTGCTGTGGAGCTCTGTTATACACTCAGACACATTACTGGGAGTATTATTGCTGTGGAGCTCTGTTATACACTCAGACACATTACTGGGAGTATTATTGCTGTGGAGCTCTGTTATACACTCAGACACATTACTGGGAGTATTATTGCTGTGGAGCCCTGTTATACACTCAGACACATTACTGGGAGTATTATTACTGTGAGCTCTGTTATACACTCAGACACATTACTGGGAGTATTATTGCTGTGGAGCTCTGTTATACACTCAGATACATTACTGGGAGTATTATTGCTGTGGAGCTCTGTTATACACTCAGACACATTACTGGGAGTATTATTGCTGTGGAGCTCTGTTATACACTCAGACACATTACTGGGAGTATTATTGCTGTGGAGCTCTGTTATACACTCAGACACATTACTGGGAGTATTATTGCTGTGGAGCTCTGGTATACACTCAGACACATTACTGGGAGTATTATTGCTGTGGAGCTCTGGTATACACTCAGACACATTACTGGGAGTATTATTGCTGTGGTGCTCTGTTATACACTCAGACACATTACTGGGAGTATTATTGCTGTGGAGCTTTGTAATACACTCAGACACATTACTGGGAGTATTATTGCTGTGGAGCTCTGTTATACACTCAGACACATTACTGGGAGTATTATTCCTTGGAGTTCTGTTATACATTCAGACACATTACTGGGAGTATTATTGCTGTGCAGCTCTGTTATACACTCAGACACATTACTGGGAGTATTATTGCTGTGGAGCTCTGTTATACACTCAGACACATTACTGGGAGTATTATTACTGTGGAGCTCTGTTATACACTTAGACACATTACTGGGAGTATTATTGCTGTGGGGCTCTGGTATACACTCAGACACATTACTGGGAGTATTATTGCTGTGGAGCTCTGTTATACACTCAGACACATTACTGGGAGTATTATTGCTGTGGGAGCTCTGTTATACACTCAGACACATTACTGGGAGTATTGTTACTGTGGAGCTCTGTTATACACTCAGACACATTACTGGGAGTATTGTTACTGTGGAGCTCTGTTATACACTCAGACACATTACTGGGAGTATTATTGCTGTGGAGCTCTGTTATACACTGAGACACATTACTGGGAGTATTATTGCTGTGGAGCTCTGTTATACACTCAGACACATTACTGGGAGTATTATTGCTGTGGAGCTCTGTTATACACTCAGACTCATTACTGGGAGTATTATTGCTGTGGAGCTCTGTTATACACTCAGACACATTACTGGGAGTGTTATTACTGTGGAGCTCTGTTATACACTCAGACACATTACTGGAGTATTATTGCTGTGGAGCTCTGTTATACACTCAGACACATTACTGGGAGTATTATTGCTGTGGAGCTCTGTTGTACTCTCAGACACATTACTGGGAGTATTATTGCTGTGGAGCTCTGTTATACACTCAGACACATTACTGGGAGTATTATTGCTGTGGAGCTCTGTTATACACTCAGACACATTACTGGGAGTATTATTGCTGTGGAGCTCTGTTATGCACTCAGACACATTACTGGGAGTATTATTGCTGTGGCGCTCTGTTATACACTCAGACACATTACTGGGAGTATTATTACTGGGGAGCTCTGTTATACACTCAGACACATTACTGGGAGTATTATTGCTGTGGAGCTCTGTTATACACTCAGACACATTACTGGGAGTATTATTGCTGTGGAGCTCTGTTATACACTCAGACACATTACTGGGAGTATTATTGCTGTGGAGCTCTGTTATACACTCAGACACATTACTGGGAGTATTATTGCTGTGGAGCTCTGTTATACAATCAGACACATTACTGGGAGTATTATTGCTGTGGAGCTCTGTGATACACTCATACACATACTGGGAGTATTATTGCTGTGGAGCTCTGTTATACACTCAGACACATTACTGGGAGTATTATTGCTGTGGAGCTCTGTTATACACGCAGACACATTACTGGGAGTATTATTGCTGTGGAGCTCTGTTATACACTCACACAAACCAGCAATATGGAACTCAATGAAAAGAAGGACATTAGGATAGAAATGAGGGAATTGGTCCCAAAATAGGGACTATCCCACCTAAATAGGGACTCTTGGGACGAGAGGTATGGATACATCCCGAATTCAGGTGGGGCAGGGTGCCAAAAGGGGCTTTCCAATGACGTAAATAAAGTCACCATGGAAGTGTCATTAATGTGTGGTGGGCTATTGGCAAGTTGGTATCCATATTGCTATCCTGCCAACCAGAGCCTGGCATCTGTATAGTGCTGTAGATACACTCCACCATACTGTAGGCGCTCTCATGTGTCCACACGCATGCTGAATGATGCACTTTAATGTGACAAGTAAGACACCAGCAGAATAACTCAGATTGGTGCCGCGTTCCAAATCAGGACTGCCCAACTAAAATCAGGACACTTGGTAGGTATGTAATCACAACACTTTTAAATTGATATGATTTGTGTACTCTACATATGGGTTTCTATTTAAAAAGTATTGATAAAGGTTTAAACGCTTGCAATTTGTGTGGGGAAGAAAAACAAATGATTAACTTTACATCAAAGATCGATAGATTTATTGTTTTATTGCTCTGTAAGTACATGAGAGTGTTTTACTGAGGGAGCATGATCGCAATGAGATAAGACAGACGTTACAGCGTGAGGATGGACAGGTCCTGTGAGTTACTGGCTGCATTCCATTCACATGAAGTGACATATAAAAGGGGGGGGAAAAATCACATAAAAAGGTAAGAGCACAATTTAGCCAGAAATACAAAACAAAAGAAACCTATCTTCCTACGAAATCAAATTCTGAGCTTTGCAATTCCAGATTCCAGACTAAGACACCCGCCAGTGGCCATTTAAAGCTGCAGTGCATAGACAATAACTGCTAAATACTGGGTACAATGTCTGCGCTAGTCTGCCCTATACTACCCGCTAAGCCCTCGCTGAATACAGTGAGTCCTGACTAGCGATCGCTAACACAGAGCTGAGAAAATGTATCTGTATACTGGAATAAGGCTACGTGCAATTAATCTGCTATAAGCAATAAAATATGTGCTAAGTCCCAATGAACATCCCCTTTATTGCCATCTTTGCAGTGGGGCTAGCTTATAGACGCCCACAGGAAACACTTAAATGTCCGTCGTTTGTCTCTTAACAGTGGGGGCATGGCCAGACGACTCCTGATCTCATAACCACTGCAGCAGACTGTATTGGTTATGGTACTTAGACTGTCACCCTCCACATGCCCCAAAATAAGTATTTGAAAAACATAGAATTTTCATGAAATATCCATATTGACTGTGTTGGAATTTTGCAGCCAAGAGATATACAGAGACAAAGTGGGGACCAATTTTTCTCAATAGTTTTCCTTCACCTGACACTTATTGACACTGGGCGGAGCTACTGCCATCAAGACGTGTTGGCTGCAGGGAGACTGGCTCTGTCTATCAAGGTTACCGCAAGACCGCGGGATCTCATGTGCGAGAGTACAGCAGTGATATTGGCTCCTGGCAGCTAAAGCACCGGAACGAGAAGAGGATTGAATGGAAGAGGATGGCGGCACACGCGAGGGACATGCGAGGGACAGAATTGGGTAAGTAAAACACACCTTTGCCTGCCCCCTGGCCATCAGACCCCCAGAGATGGCGTCACCATTGGTGGTCTTTGCAAATTATGCAAAGCGTCCAGACGATGACCGTGTTGCATTCAAGGTAACCAGAGCCAATGAGTCACATGCTAGTATAGCTATTTAAAAGAGGAGGAGGGGCAGATGTATTCACCTTAATCCCTCCTTCCAATATGCTACTGTCTCCCTTCTTCAATTCCTGCCAAATTGGGCAGTCATACGCCGTGCGTCATGAATACAAGATTGTCCATAGATTTTAGATAAATCTTATCACTACCGCACTGAATGTTACATTATTCTATAGATTAGTTCTATAGTTACATTATTCTATAGATTATTTGTATAGTTACATTATTCTATAGATTATTTGTATAGTTACATTATTCTATAGATTATTTCTATCGTTACATTATTCTATAGATTAGTTGATGGCCTGTCTAAAGTCCAAAATAGCTTTGTTTACTGCAGAGAAACGAACGAGTGACCTTGATATCTGAACAGAGCCACTGCCTGGGCTATAATCAGAACGTGCTGGACACCCAGAAAGGACCTAGAATTTATTCATGTCCTGAGGGCAGATTTTCAGGACCTTCCTGTGTAACATGGCGGACCCATTAACTGTCTTCTGAGGACTAGAATCGTACAGCAATGACTATTGCAATGAGGAGGGCGATAGACAGGACAGAGAGAGAGATTATAAAAAGGCCCTTGTTAAGAATCTGAATCGGGATATTGGTGTCATCTCAATGACCTTACATTCGGATTTACCCAATATTGTGACTGGTGTAAAGAGCGGACACCACGTCTTGCAGGCTCCACGAGTTCAGCAATATGTCTTCCCATATTGTACTGGATATAGACACAGCTAATAATAATTTCATTGTGTCTGATGACTTGGAAACTATTTTCTGGTCAGGAAAAAAGCAGGCGCGCCCCAAAACCCCTCCGAGATTTCACGATCACTCTCAGGTTTTGAGCGACGTGAACATTTTCTGAGGACGACATTACTGGGAAGTGGAAACAAGTAAATTAGGTGAATGGAGTGTAGGGGTGGTCTGTCTCAGCATGCCAAAACAAGGCAATAGGTCAGTAACTGGAACTAACATCAAGTCCTGGGGTCTGGAGAAATGCAATGATCAATATTCTGTTAAACACGACACCCAAGCAATCTGGATAACTCACAGCCATTCCACCCAGAGACTGGGGATATCTCTGGACTATGAGCCTGGCCGACTGTCTTTTTATGAGCTCTGTGACCCGATCCAACACGTAAACGTTTACTGATAATTTCACTGAACCAGTTAGTGCTGCATTCTACATACGGAGAAACACTTGGGTGAGCATCAGGACGTAAAGATTTCTTCATGGAATTGGGTACTAATTTGTAATAGCTCATAGATGTGAACATTTAAAGGGGCAACCTAAGCACCATCACCACTACATGCAATGGGGGTGAGGGAGGGGCACTCTAAATGTAACACAGAGGTTTTTAAAGAAACACTGTAGCATTAGGATTACAAGACTGTATTCCTAACACTACAGCCTTTGCCACCCAGATTTCAATAAAACGTACCAATTTACCATTTATGGGAAATTCGTCTTTTCTGGTACACCTTCATCTAGGGGAGAACTTGGAATGACCTATCGAGAAAGGAGAAAACCACCTTAAAGGAAAGCGATGCCAGGATATCTAGAGTCAGATTATTAGACTCCAAGTTGTACGTGGTGAGCATTGTTTCACTCACTGGCTAATTTCACCTATAACCAGTAAGTGCTATATGTGCATTATATTTCAAGTGATAAACATGGTCCTAGTCTTATTTTCTAACTCTGGGTTTCCCTCCTTTGAAATCAAGAAAAGAAGAGAAGGTGAGAATGAAGAAGGAGAGAAATAAAAAGAGGAAGGAGACTTTGCTACAGAAACGTATACAGTAACTTTCCTTTTTAACCATTCTTCTAATGTGTAGGCTTATTAGTGTTTCATTTGCACAAAAAAGCAAAAAATGCATGATTACCTTTTCCTTATTAGTAATTGATTTCCAGGACTTATTTATTTATTACTGGTATTTATAGATTCCGCAGCGCTGTACAATTAGTGGCGAATGTACAATATACACCGACAAATACAAGAGGCAGACAGGGCCCTGCCCGTAAGCCGATATCTGGCCATTGAAGCTCTTATTGTTCTAATATGTGTTATATGAATATTTCAAGATGTGTTTATTTATTTTTTTGTAGAAGATTAGGACTTTTAGTGACGGCTTTTTCTTTATTATTTCAATGATTTGGCTTTTTTGTTGTGATAATAAGTCTCTATGTACAGATGGGGCTGGGATTTTATATATATTTATAAAACAGAATATAAAGACTGCACTTACAGCTGGACATCTTTCTTTGTCTCCCCTTTTTTATTCTTTCCTCTCCTTTTCCCCCCTTTTTTCCTGCTGCTTTCTTTGTGATTTCCTGTTTGACTTATCCTTTTAAATGGTTTAATCTTTACCCCAGAGAAACACACTGCGAGTTTGTATACTTAGGCCTTGCTTTCAGTTTACATTTTTGGCTTTTATATTCTTTTTTCCTCCCAAACCGCTGACCCTTAAGCGTCCGCCCTCCATCTTTGCCAACTACCGTCACTGTATTTTGTCCCTAACTCTATCTCTCAGCCCAGGAACCTGCTGAACCCTCATTGCATCGTTTCCTCGCCCAGCGTCCTTGCATGCTACGTGTGTATCATAACACTGCACCCAGATTTAACCTCTCCTTATCCCCTATTTTAATGTCTCCTGCCTTGTGTGTTTCTTACTTCTCCCCAGCCCCTTTGTGTGTCTTTTTTTCCACTTTCACAGACCCCCCTGTGTGTCGTTTCCCACCCAGCAGATGTGTGTCTCTTTCTCCCCTTCAGCCCATTGGTCTGTCTCTTTCTCTCCTGGCACTTTGCTTGTCTCATTCTCCCCAGTCCCTTTGTGTGTCTCTTTCTCCCCCAGTCCTTTGTGTGTCTCTTTCCCTCCTTCCCCTCTCTGTCTCTTTCCCTCCAGCCCCTTTGTGTGTCTTTTTTCCCACTTTCACAGACCCTCTGTGTGTCGTTTCCCACCCAGCAGGTGTGTGTCTCTCCCCCCCTCCCCCCAGCCCTTTTGTGTATCTCTTTCTTTCCCTCTGTGCGTCCCTTTCCCCTGTACCCTTGTGTGTCTTTTTTTTATTTCCCAAGATCCTCTGTGTGTATCTTTTATGTACATATACAAGTAAATCCGTTAGTGGGGATAAAAAAGTGCATACAAGTGCAGGCAGCCATTGCAAACAGATCACTCCCCAATCCCACTAAAATTGTAAAAAAGAAAAAAAAAGACAGGGCGCCTCAACCACAAGTGCGTTAATATAGTTACCACTGAAACTGAGTCAATTCTCACATGAAAAGGAAAGAGGGAAGAAAAACATCATAGTGCAAACGTTAATCCAACACAATATATCAGAAAAGCAAACGAGCGCTCACATTAAAAAGTGGCACATCTAATATATCAAACCAGACATTGCTAACTACACATAAAGTCCTTTATAGCATAGTCCCAGTCCATATCCCTGAATGGAGAGTCCGAAAGACCCCAGACCAGGAATTCATCATATCACTGGAAAGCATCTGGTTAATAGCAGTAGCACAATAAAGTCGTATTCGTAGAATGAGACATAGGATTGCGTTTTTTGTAAAATATAAAGAGAAAAAAAACAAACAAAATGGAGCCGTCGTGCGCCCGCACCCTGAAATCATGTTATGGGATACGAAAGCGGACAGATAGGATAGGATGGCTTTAATTACAAAGTGGGGCATTAAAGGGCGATAACCAAGCAGAAGGCTACAGAGGCCTATCGCCCTTTAGCTGGCAATCAGAGCAGTAATGGCGACATATTGTGTGAGAAGGGAGGAGGTAGTGAAAGGACTGGGACATGACTCCCTCTAGTTATAAAGGTGAAATTAAGAACAAGAAAGGAAAAATAATAAATAAAATTGTTTGTCATCTGAAGGAAAATCAGATAGAAACAGAGAGACAAAGCGAAACGCTATAAAACAGTAAACAAGAGAGTTATCAGACGTTTCACAGCACTAGAGCAGGCGATGAGTCGAAAAGTCACATAATCGAATCCCAAATCGCCTGAAACAACATGTTTTTTCCCAAATGAAACTATTCTGTATTTGGTATGAATATATGGAACAAAGAGACACATTTTCCTCCAGTAAATAGCCAAAATAATAATTATTTCATTTAAATTTATCAACAACAGCCGACTTTCCCCTAGATTGCAAGCTTCTTAGTGCACCAAGTCTTCTTTCTGTTGATATTATTTTCCCCTTTTATGTTCTAAAACACAGTAGAATATGTTGTTGCTATATAAATAATAATAATAGTAATAATAATAATAGTAATAATGATAATAGTAATAATGATAATAGTAATAATGATAATAGTAATAATTATAATAATTTCCGATTGTAATGTAGGACAATCAGAGATATCCCTCTCCGGCCCGCTAGCACTGTAATGCTGCAGCCAGCAGGGGAGAGAGAGAGGACCACGGTTACCATGGCAACGCTATGAATTTTGCGAGAGTGAGCGCTAGCCTCAGGAGCTGCTAGAGTTCACACTCACCACCTGGACCACCAGGGATAGCTTTGTACTGTCCCCTCTCCAAGTCAGGTAAGAAGGGGGGGAGGGGGGGATATTAATTTTCTTTAATTAAAAAAAAATGTTTGTTTATCTTCCCTCCTATCCCCACAGACCCACAATAATTCCCCCCTACACACACACACACTGCCTGCATTCACACACATACTGTACCCTTCACTCACACATTGTACCACTTACTCACAAACAATGCACC